ACAGACCCTCACCCTTGACTCCATTTTATCCATCCCACAGTCACCCTGATTCCACATCACCCCTCCCAGACCTGAACCTCTGATTTTATCCCGCCTTCCCGCAGACCATAACCCCTCCCCCATCATCCACCCCCTCCCAGACCATCACCCCTAATGCCATCCCACTCCCGCCTCTGCTTCGGCCCCTCTCTCCTCCCCAGTCCAGCAGTCCACTCCCCACTCCTCCCTGCTTCCTTCATGAGTTCAACCCACGATTCTCAGGAGGGACCCTTTCAGGGCACAGCATGCTGTTAGGTGGCCCCAGGAGCATCCCATCCTTGGAGTACAGCCAAGGAGGGGCCAGCTGTGGACTGGGGTGGGGTCAGGACCTTGGAGAGCGGCCACCTGCAGTGTGGGGGTATCATGCCAGCAGGCATTTCTCAGTGTGGGGCGTGGGGAACACTGCCAGCAGCCATGGTGACCCCGTGCGCGCCAGCGTAGAAGTATGCTCCTGAAGGCTGTCAGGGGCCAATTTGGGGGAAGTGGATCCCCGGACCTTTCTTCCAGGTGCCTCTGGGTGGATTCAAACTGCCAACCCTGGGCTAGCTGATAGCACAGTCATTACACCCCTTGCTTTCCTGATGCCACCAGTCTGAGCAGACCCATCTTGGAGACCTCGCTCCTGAGGGAAGACTTCCTGTGTGCATTTGTTCATCCTTGTTCATTCATTCATTCATTCTTCTTTCAACATTTCTCCTGCACCAAGTGCAAAGTGGCAGCGTAGGCACAGCAGGAGGCATCCTTGGAGGACTTCCTGTTTGCATTGCATCCTCGTTGGTCATTCTTTCTTCCAGCATCCGTCCACCAACATTGATGGAGCACGTTGTGGGCAAAAGGTGCAGAAGGTGACAGCAGTCACACTCAAGGCGCCCAGACAGCCATGTCTTGTCTGATGCCCACACCCCAGGGAGGGGACCCTCAGCCCCAGGGAGGCGAGAGTGAGGCGGGTCTGCAGGGCAGTGCTGCCCAGGCTGGGTGTGGGGTCTCACCACAGGCCCAGTCACTCCCAGCGCCCCCAGACCATATCAATGTCCTGCAGGTGCCTCAGAGAGGGGCCGGGGAGGTGGGCACAGACAGGATGAAGGAGGGAAGCCTGGGAGATAGGAGGAAGGTGGCAGGAGGAAGGGCGAGAACTGGGAAAGGGAGGCGAGCGAGAGACACGAGCAGTCAACTCCTGAGACTACTGGGACAGAGGGCCACAAGCCAGGGCGCTGAGCATGTTGCTTCCATGCCTGGAGGCCAGAAGTACGGCTTCAAGATGTGGACTGGGCCACGTGCTCTAGCCACTGGAGAGGAGCCTCCTTCCGGGCCTTGGGTGGCAGCATCTCTGGCTCGTCTCCACATGGCTGACTTTCCTCTGAGTTGCTGCTTCCAGATAAATCCGCCCCCAAGGGTAGTGAGTTAGTTAATTGTGCCAGCCTGGCCGATAACCACATGTGGGGCTAATTGAAAGGCGGAGGAATAAATGGGTGGTGAAGCCTCGCCTTTCTAGTTCTCGGGTCTCTTGCTTTGTGATGGTTGCACCGGGTGCAGCTGCCTTAGCAGTTCCCTGCTTCAGCTTGCAAGATTGACTTCCTACAAGACATCCCCAAGGAGAAGCCGCATGGATCTATCCCGATGCAGCCCTGGGTGCTGGAGCAGCTGTGTGGAGACCCCTGCTAGTGCTGAGGTGCTTGTTCGTTCACTGACTCAGCTTTCCTCCTGCAGTCGGCATCATTGCCTCTGTATTGTGAGGTGGAGGACTTTGTGGACTGGTGTTGGGTTAATGGGTTAATGTTGGACTTGTGGGCTTGAGCAGCATTGGGTTGGGATGTTTTCGTGATGCACATTTTCTTTACATAAAACTCTCTCTTATACATGAGTTGCTGTGGATTTGTTTCTCCAAAGTACCCAGACTAATACAGGTAGCTATGAGTCAGGGGTCCACCAGGCCAGGACCCCCGCTACTGCACGAGGAGCCTGTGTTGGCATGGCTCCATCTGTGCCCTGGTTTCCTGGTGCTGCTGTAACACACACACACACACACACACACACACACACACTCACGGGGTGGGGGTGAGGGGAGCAGCTGTGGAGGCAGAATGTGCATTTTCTCCCAGCTCAGAGGCCACAGATCCAAGTCAGGGTCCTGGCCTGGTCGATCCCATCCTCATTGGCTCCGTCTAGTGCAGCACTAACAGGAATGCCACAAGGGGGTGGCTCTTACAAACAGAAATGTCTTTTCTCACATTTTGAGAGCCTGGAAGTCCCATTCTCCAAAGGGTGTGTCCCTAGGAGGTGGGGACAGGCTGGAGGTGGCCTGCTGGCCATCTGTGGGAAGACGTTGCATTCTGGAAAGGGATGGCGCCACAGGGTGATGTACATCCCGCCCCTAGACGTGAATGAGTGTGGAGCGCTCCCAGCCCTGTGTGTGCACGGCTCCTGCTGCAGCACTGTGGGTAGCTCCCCCTGCATTTGCCCCGGGACTTCGCCGTGGGCACACGTGCACAGAACTGCACAGGTTAAGCCCCTCGCCTGCAGTGGGGGGCGGGGGGAGTGCCCTGGGGACACTCATGATGTCCACTTCCCCTCACTGGGCTTCAGGGCCTCATGTGCCACAGGCAGATGAGCAGAGGTGTCAGCAAGGGCCTCCAGGCTCCAGGAGGCTGGGGACACAAGGGGGAAGCACCTCATTACCCTGGCTCCTCAACTTGGGGTACCTCCACACAACCCCTCCCATCTACAGGCATGGGGACCCTCTGCCTGCACCCCTTCATGCACACAGACCTGCTGGTGTACACCTTCTGTGCCCACAGATACAGACCACTGGCCCAGCCCTCTCTGTGCAGAGCAGACCCCCGTAGCTCATGTGCACACAGACAAACATCCCCCACACACACTATTCCTTCCAGGCCCTGACTCTGGCCCCTGGTGAGCGCGCCCCCTGCACCTCCCCACTCGCAGACATTGACGAGTGCCTCATCTCCATGGGCCTCTGCGGCCAAGGCACCTGCGTCAACACCCCAGGCAGCTTCCAGTGCCAGTGTGTCCAGAGCGGCTTCCCGCTGAAGAGCTGCGCTGGTATGGTGGATGGTGGTGGTGAGAAGTGGGCGTCTGGGGCAAGTGTGCGACAGGCTGTGGTCCAGCTGTCTCTTAGAGGTGGTGAGGGAGGGCAGGGTCTTCAGGGCCGAGTGGGGGAGAGAGGAGAGCCTGGAGAGTTCTAGAAGCCTGGGAAACGGGCATTTCAGGAGCCCCTCAACCCCCATCGGTCACTTTGTCGTTAACCAAGCCACCAAGTCTGTCCCGACACCGTGCTCAGAAAGACTCAGTGCCGTGCACCGAGTTGATTCTGATTCGGGGTAGAACTGCCCCTGTGGGGTTCTAAGCACAAACTCTCTACGGGAGTAGAAAACCTCACCTTTCTTCTTAGGTGTGGCTGGTGGTTTGGAACCACTGACCTTGCGTTGCGTAAGCATCCCAACGCATAACCGCTAAGTCCCCAGGGCTCCTATTTCCGACTCAAGAGTGACCCTATAAAGGGTTTCCTATGCGATACACATTTGCAGGAGCACAGAGCTTCGTCTTTCTGCCTGGGAGTGGCTGGTGGATTTGAATCGTTGACCTTGGCGTTAGAGGTCCATTGCCTAACCCACAGCCCCACCGCAGGTGTGTGTGAGAATGTACGGAACAAACCACAAGAGTTCAGCAGTTGCTCCACACGCAATTCCGCGACGACGATGACATGGGTGCCCGGAGCCACTTTTCCCAACAACCTTTTCCGCACGATTTCACCATCACCATCGCCAACTCGCCGCCCCCGGGCTCCTCATTATCCTGTCGAGTTGCTGTTTGTCCGTCCGGTCACCTGGAGATGAGAGGGATCGTGCTTAATGCCCTTGGGAGAGTCAAAAACAAACAAACAAACAAACAAAAAACCAGACTCACTGCTATCCCGCCGATTCCGGCTCTGGTGACCCTACAGGACAGCCCAGAGCTGTCCCCTTCACTGGGGTAGAGACCCTCCTCTCTTTCCCTCCAAGAGCCTGGTCCTGAGTGGTTGCCCGGGTTTGCACAGCCCCACAATGTCAATCGGGCGCATGGCGCCCCAGGTCTGTGTGGAGAAAGCCATCAAGATGGTACGTTCTAACTGAATTTTGGACCTCCCTTCCCCTCTCTCTGACACACACACCAGGCATGCGGAAGAGCACCTGCTTCCGGCACTATAATGGCACCTGTCAGAACCAGCTGCCCTTCAACGTGACCCGCAGGGCGTGTTGCTGCTCCTACAACATCGGCCAGGCCTGGAACAGCCCCTGCGAGGCTTGTCCGAGCCCCGCCAGGCGTGAGTGCCTCCTTCCCAGTCTGGGCCTTCTATGGGGGCCCTCAGGGGGCACAGGAGCCCCTGGGGGATGTTAACAGTTAAGCTTGGTCTACTGACCAGATCCAGCCTGGTGATCTGCTCCGGAAGGTCACAGCCTTACAAACCCTACAGAGCGAGGCTCTCCCCATAACAGGGCGGGCGGTCACCAAGGCCTGGGGTTCCCTTAATGGCAGCTGGTTTGGTTTGGGGGTTGTACAGAGACCCGGCCCATTTGTGGCTCCCAGATTGGCTCCCACTGAAGAGCTGCAGTTTCACTGTGATGTGCAGACACGACACTGGGGCAAGGATGGTTTGAACATCAGTGAGTGCCTGGGCTGAGGAGAAATCACCGCTGGTTACAGGAACCAGGGGCCGGGCCTGGGGACAGGCAGACCTGGGGAAGTTCTGGGGAGGTCTGCAGCCTTGATGAGGAGGTGTGTACCTTTCCAAGCAAGGCAGGGTGTTCCAGGCTGGGGGCACAGCATGAGCAAAGGCCTGGAGGCAGGACTGAACGAGGCAGGTTGGCAGCTGGGATCATACGAGGGGTTGGGGAGGGTGGTCTGTACCTTGGAAGACCCCACTGCAAAGGGGCATCCTTAGCCAATTTGGGCCATAGTGGAAACAGGGAGACTGCTTAGAGGAGGTTGACCAAGGGCTGGACTACAGAGGTGGAGGGACGGAGTGGATGCAGAAATGTGGTAGAGGAAGGAATGTGAAGGGCAGGGGCTTCCTCAGCAGGGAATGGCTTGCAGTCCCCGTCTATTTGCTCTTCCCTCCACCCATCCATCCATTTACCCCTGCATGCATGCATCCATCCACTCATCTGTCCTCCATTCACCTACCACCCACTCATCCATCCACCCTACCTACCATCCATCCATGTATACATCCACGCATGCCTCCATCCACTCATCCATCCATCCTTCTGTCTACCCACCATCCATCCATTCATCCATCCATGTATACATCCATGCA